ACAAACAAACAAACATACATACACATATATACACACATACACACATATTCGTACATACATGCATACATACATACATACATACATACATACATGCATGCATGCATGCATGCATGCATGCATGCACGCATGCACGCATGCACGCACGCACGCACGCATGCCAGCATGTATGTCTGTATATACATATAGATAGACATAGATTCAATTGTACATCCTGCCCTGAATGTTCAGGGCACTTTATTGGTGCCTTGCGCTCGTGTGTGTATGTGTGTGTAAACCTTGAGTACCTGATCTGGCATTTTGCATTCGTTCTTCTGGTACTGTTCTTCATGATCTGCTCATTGTCATAATTAGCTTTTTCGTCTGTCTTCGTTTGCCAGAGCTGGGGCCATGTGCACTCAGTTGCCAGGATCCCTGTTCAACCTGCATTACAGGTGAACGCCGCCGGCTGATTTGCGTGCGTCGATGTTTTCAGTTGTCAGATGTTTTGACCTGATGATGCTGACAGTCTCATCCAACCAAGTACGGATGAAGTTGAAGTGAGTGCCGCATACAAACTTGCTGCAAATTTGTGAAAGTTCGCACATCCTCCCTGCTTCTCCCAATTCCATTTGACAGCATGTCGTTCATACGGTCATGTAGCGTTCGCTGCCGCAGCTGGTTAGTGGACATTCTCCTGAAACTGTACTTTTTTTAAATCAATGCTTTGCAAACTGTGCGGCACTGCGCGTTGATGTGCGGCTCGCTCTAGTCTCAATCGTATTACTTGTGGAGATTCCCAGTGTCAGAAGTTTGTCAAGACAAGCGTCATGGGCAGAAGATGCAGTAGCAGCAGTCATCGTCGTCGGACCACCAGTTCCTTTTGTTCTCGTCGTTTCTGTTAGTGCTATTTGCAAACTGTCATCAGTATCCAGTTTGCTGCAACATGTTCGCATGCAGTGACGGCAAGCTACGTGTTCATATTGTTGAGTTACACAGCTCAAGGGGCATGCTAGCAAGTTCTGCCGGCAGAAGTGTCACAGCCTTGCAGGGATGCCCCCAGGCCGATGTCTGCCGCCAGATTCCTAGCTTAAAGCAGTTTTTGGGCTTCGTTCACTCACCGCAACACGGTTCAGGCTTCTGCAGTGAGCTGAAACAGCCGCACTTTGATGATGGTTGGGAACATGACGGTGAAGGTGCGTAGTGTTGTCGCTGTTGTGGCTGTTGATGATGATGTGGATGATAGCAGCGACGCTCAGGTTTTCGGAAAAGAAGAGGATGATATTTGTCGTCAATCGGAGAGGCTCGAGGAAAAGGATGATGATGACGACAACAGTCGCGTGGCGGTGACGGCGGGGGTTGTGGTGGTGGTGCTGGTTGCAGATGATGGTGATGCTGCTGCTGATGACGACAGTTTTGATGCAGATCATGACGTGATGATCGTGATGAGGATGGTGTGATACCGTGCCGATGTCGAGCCACGAGGATGACCCTGACGACTTTGATGGCCATTCACTCGAAGTCTCAATGCCCAACCCTGTGCAGCATTCCCGAACGTCAATGCTGGAAGTTCAAGCCCACGGTCCCCGACTTCCAAAAGCCCAGAAGCCCAACACCAGATACGCCGAAGCCCAAAAAGTCTGTGAGGTCTGCTTTGTCGGTTTCAGGACTCCATCGGCTTCCGTGCCGAGGCCTTGTCGGTCTCTCGTCCAGCTGTAGTCAGTAGTTGTTGGGCGGAATCGGGTGGAAGCTGTATCAGTACCGCGACCGGTAGTGATGGTCCAGTACTACGAGTACTCGTAGTATTGTGATTACTTGCTGCCAGTACTGCTGGTGCTACGAGTTCTACGAGTTCTACTAGTACTAGTAGTACCACTAGTACTACTATTGCTACGAATACATACTACTAGTACTGCAAGTACTACTAGCTAGTACTACTAGTACTACGAGTACCAGTAGTATTATGGGTATTATTAGTGCAAACTAGTACTGCGAGTACTTCTGGTGCTGCGAGTTCTACGAGTACTGCTCGTATTCGTCGTACTACTAGTACTACTAGTGTTAGTGGTGCTGCGAGTACTACTGGTACTACTAGTACTGCTAGCACTACTAGTACCTGGTACGACTAGTACTACTAGTTAGTAGTAGTCGTCGCCGCCGTCGTCGTCGTCGTAGCCAGTGGTGGGACGTTCTGTCCAGGTGTGCGAGAACCTTCGATACGTCATCATCTCCTCCGGGAAGCTACCGGTTTCGCTGCGCATCGTTTTGGCCTGAGGAGGGGGTTTGAGTGTGGCATCCGGGGCTTGAGGTGGTGGCCATTGTTCAGTTTGGACTAGTGACTAGTAACGAGTGCTTGATGGTTTACTGCCGTTCAGGCTTAGCGGGCTTTAGCAGATGTGGTGTTTAGGCATAGGATGTACGGGTCAGGGTTCAGAAGGTATTAGAATCAGAAGGTATGCTTGCTCCCCTCGCAAAGTGTCGCAGTGGCTACGCGGCATGCTCCATTTAACAAGCAAGACCTGTGCAGTTTACTCAGCCGCAGCAAGCTGGAGTATGCCAGCGTCATGCAGGTGCTGCAGAACTGCTGCGTATGCTTCCACCGTTCAGGTGCATGTCGGACCGCCGCCGGACGTCTCCATTCCACGCCATCTGCAGCCTCCTCAGAACGCACAACACAAGCAAACCAACGAACTCCGAGTTTGCGATCTGAAGCCTGTGCCAGTCGCATGCAGCTACGGAAGAAGAAGCACTGCAAGCCGTTTGTCATTTGCCTGCCGTTGATTACGAAGCGGTGTTGAGGGTTTATCACCGGCTAAGTTGCGGAGATGGCCCAAAAGATCGGACTCAGTGCAGGTTCCCAGGCAGTACAGGGATTTCGTAGAGTTTTCACTGCATCCCAAACCCAGAATTAATCCGCCGATCTTGCAGAGCAGCCGGTCTGTTGACAGGGTCTTCGAAAGTAGAACCTCTAATTTGGGACTCCGTGCTAGTAAAGGGTAGGAACCCCCCTAAGGGGTCATACAGGATCTACTTTGTTTCAGAGTTCACCGCTGCCTTCGTCCGGCTGCACTTGTCGCAGAGGTTTGACCCGGTGGAGTGGAAAGAGCTTCCCTGGCAAGGCCCAGTGATGTGGGAGTTTCCGGAAACAAGAGGTACCTTATTTTGGGGTCCTTATAATGAGGATCCTATTATTTAGGGTACTATATTAGGGTCCCCTATTTTTGGACACCCCCATGTCTCTGTGCGGGCTTTGTGTCTCAGGGACCTAGGCCTCTACACATCGCGAGTCATTGAGCGGTGTACAGTGCATGAGAGTTATAGTTTCACATCCTGGCATTTGCTAGCAAGTCTGCCTCAGAGTACCAGCGCCACCAGTACCCTCCAGCGCCAGCACCGGCGCTAGGAAAACAATGCTGATAGTGAACAGCAAGCGAGGCTGCAGTTGCATCTTCGAACTGGACGAGCAACATCTAGCAATTCTGAAACGCCAGCATCCCAGCTTTTGGTGGCCTTTGCCAGTTTATGGCATCGAATGAACGGTTTCTGGCCGAGGTATCCAGTCGCTGCTGTCAGCATCGCCTTTGGGGCCGCTTTACCAGCTGGTGCCACCAGGCAAGGACTGTAATGGACTTTCCTTTCGAAAGCTGCAGTCTACATGGACCCGAGCCCAAACGTCGAAGTCTCTGCAACCTGTCGCAGAGTGCCTCTGCCTCAACCCGGCGCGGTTGCTCGATCCCTTTCGGCGTCCCGAGCTGCTGTGCCAGCCCGGGCCCCGTTTATGAAAGGTTCGCGGATCTTTGCACTTTAGTACCTTTCCCCTTAAGGGGCCCGAGCGTCGTTGCTGACAGCCCTGGAGATGAAATGGACTGGCGAGCCTGCTTCGAGCAGGTTTGGGCGAGTTTAAGCTTCACTTCATCCTATCGCTCTTGAAGCTCCGCGTGGCAGGTGCAGGAGCGCCTTGCAATCCCGCTGCACTCTGCGTCCTGCCTCAAACTTCAGCCATGCTTTCACCGCAGCTGCGGGAGAGGTATCAGCGATTTGCCTTGTCAGGGTCCCTGGACGTACTGGCCGCTGCGCTTCGATCGACAGAACCTCAGTGTCACATGACAGGGAGAGATCCAGGATGCAGAGCTGAGCAGAGTGTATTTGCGAGATCTCTGAGGTGCTGACTGCACGACCGTGACCTTGACACCGACAGGCTCACGAAGTCAGATGTTCACGGCCTCCGCGCCTTCGCAAACCTGCAAATTTCAGGTCCTGTGTGTCAGCAAGCCGCCAGGGCCCCAAACGGGTGCCATCCTGCATCACCGCAGGACTTGCACACGCTATTCAAAATCCCCATGTGTGATCAAGGTCTCCTCGTGGGTTGCTGCTGTGCAGCAGGCGAGGTTACGGAGCCTTAGATCCTGCATGGACTCGTCCGAAAACAACATGACTGTGCCCAAGATGATACATCGCTCTGTCTGTCTAGACTGCCAGATGCAACGGCAAGGCCAGCGGGCTGCGAAATGCCGCAGTTCCACGAGACATGCTGACGCTGACCTTTGCCTACGAGGCTCGCAAGCTCATGACATGAATGTCCAGGTAACAGCAGCTGACTGTCCGCCTCTGCAAGCACCAAATCGTCCAGCCATGTGATGGGCTAATATTTGCAGTGAACATGAGTCTGGGGTGATGACCTGGTTTGTTCGAGGTCTCACCAGAAACTCTGCATCACGTTGTTATTCTGAAGCTGACGGTATTGTTGAGCACTGCTTACTGAAGGGTACAGTCGAAGATGCACTTTGATAATTCGTCACAGCTACTGCGATCGCCGACGTGGGAAATTGATCCGGCAGACTGAAGCACGCAATGAGTAAAGCAGCATGTGGTAGGTGTTCCCAGTCGAGGGCGAGAACGCGTCGCAGGCGCCGTCGTTCGCTTGTTTCTGGGTCCGGTCCACCGGCATTTTGTACGGTTGCTGAGCAGGTCCGACGTGACCTTGTTCGCGAGATCAAAGCAATCTTGGACAAGGCCCAGTGCTGCAGATTGCAACCAAAACAAATCACGACAATGTCGCGACTAGCTTGCAGCCATGAAGAATCAGTGCGAAGCTGACATCAGCTTATTCATAAAGCAACAACAACAACAACTACTACTACTACTCCTACTACTACTACTACTACTACTACTACTACTACTACTACTCTGCTACTGCTACTGCTACTGCTATTGCTCCTGCTACTGATCCTACTACTGCAACTGATACTGCTGCCGCTGCTGCTGCCACTGCCGCTGCCGCTGCTACTGCTAATGCTAATGCTAATGCTACTNNTACTACTACTACTCCTACTTCTACTTCTACTCCTACTCCTACGCCTCCTACTCCTACCCTCCTCCCTTGCACAATAAGAAGTGGCCGTGCACAGAACTCGAAATGCTACAACCCAGATTCCAGACTCACACTCGACCCCTGAAGCCATGCGCAAATCTCCAGGAATGGGGCATCATGGAGTTTATCGGCCCAAAGTTGGCGTTATGGCAGACGAAGAGTCGCTGGTTGCCCTTCCAGGCGACGGAGGGTCCGCCCCCGTTGTGCAGAAATCCGATGCTACTTCGTCTCATCCTGAAAGCCACAACACGACCGACGCCCCGACATTCGGCTGAATGACTGGTCGGCGTGGCTTCTTTGGACGCCAGCTGGTCTCTGCCAACCTATTGCATGTACTCTGGTAACTAACGTCTTCGGTTCTGACATCTTGACTAACCCAAGAACCCAAAGAAGCCGCCGCTCGCTGTTTTGCAACTGCAGGCGGCCTATGTGCCTTCGGCACCTACTCCGTAGACTGGCGAAAGCCGAGGCACGTGGTTCTTGACATCACTTGTCGCCGATGGCTGTGCCATATAGTATAAGTTGTACACATACATGTTTAGTGGTTTGTAGTGCTAGTCTGTCGTTTGACTTGTGCACTCGACACTATTCGGCAGCTTATCGAACATAGCTTCGCTAGTTTCTGATTTTCTAGCTGTTGCAAAGTCCATGGATGGCTTGCACGTGCGGAATCGCAAACTTTAAGCAGGGTAGCTGAAGGAAGGACGGCAACCGCAGTAGCGCAAGTGAAAGGCAAGAGCCGTCTCACACTCACACCAGTGGGTAAGCTTCGTCATTATGCTGTCACCTTTGTGATTTGATTTGTTGCTTGTCGCTGCTAGTTTCAATACTCCAGCGTCAACGATGAGCTGTAAGATGTCTTAAGTACTACGTCGTTCTACGTAGTTTCTACATTCGTTTGAAGTCACTGCATAGGTTGATAATTGTTCAAGTGGTGGTTGCGATCCAATGACACCGAATAGTTTGAAAGGACCGCAGATTCGTAACTTGGCTGGGCTGAGATGGTCGAGGCTGGCGACCTTCAGTCTGATCGTAGAATCTGGGGAAATATCAAAGCCAGAACCCCCAAAGACTCAAGCCACAAGTCCCTAAGCACTAGGTCCCAAGGCTCAACTCGAGATCTCCCAAAAACAAGCCAACTGCCGAAGACCTGCACAAGCATGGAGGTCTCACCTACTGTGGACATTCTCAGCCTGAAAAGCAGGCGGGGCCTCGGATCTTTAGATTCAAGACATGGGGCCTCGCTCGGTGACACTTCCTTCTCCAGGAGCACGATTGCCATGGGTTACTCTGACTCGAGAGCGCGAGAGTCTACCCTAAATACCCGATTCGGCCTACCCTAAACCCTAAACCCTCAAAAACCCTAAACCCTAAACCGTCAACTGTGCAGGCTGGGACCAAGGCAGTCTTGAGCCAAAGCGCGACAACTGCTCTCCCGTGTCACGGTGAGCTCTGGAGAGGTCTCACCGGGCCGACTCGTGGAATGACCGCAAGCAGATACATCGGGAGCTGATTCAGGTCCGATCTTTGAATTTGTGCGCCTTTTTCTGCATGGGCCCAGGATTTTTTCCTAGAGTTGTCAGGTGAGTTCAATTTGGCAACCATGAATCATAAAGAGCACATACAACTCAGAAAGTCAGAATAATCTTGGTATGCTTTAAACTTCTAACGCTGACGACCGTACCAGTACCAACAACAACATGAACCTTGACCAAATCGGCACTGACGACTACGCCGGCTTCGCCAGCAGCTGTACTAGCAACCGACAAGCGAGCGGTGCTGGTCAGCACAACGACAGATACAGTAACCATTGTCAGAAGCATCGAGAGCAACGACAGAGACAGCATAAGTGGGATGTTGATAGTAGTGCTGATAGTTATTCTGGAAGTATAGATGCCAGAGGCAAACAGCGATTTGTCACACCAGTCGTGCTGTGGCTCGAAGATCTGCTCTACGATGCTTTGTGCTAACAAGACAATAACGGTGATGGCGGAAGTAAGTGCAGTACAATGATTAAAACCAGAGTAACACTTCGACCACCATCACCATTACAGTTACCGTCACCGTCACCGTCATCGTCATTATCCACAATCAGCGTCATCATCCTCAACATCATCTTCAGCATCCCAGTCGCCGTTGTCGTCGTCGTCGTTATTCGCCATCATGCTCACGATCGTCATGCTCATAGCCAGCGCTACCCAATGCTAACCCATACTAAGTTAGGGCCCCCTTCGCCCAGTTTGGGTAATAATACCACCAGTCAACCCATTAGACGATTATTCTTATACTCCCCCCTACACCCCACCCAATATATCACTACTACTTCCCCATTATCAATACAAGTATAGGAATAACCAATTACCCCATCTATATTCTCTAAGGTGGTATTGTTAGCCAAACTGGGCAAGGGGTTCCTTGTAGAATTTGGTTCAGGGTTTAGGGTTAAGGGTTGCAACTCTAATGTAATTATAATATATCACTGCTTATGCATTATAAGGTGGGGTGGTGGGTAGGTGGTATCATACACCCAAACTGGGCGAAGGGGGTCCTAACTTACTAACCTCCATCATCATGTTCGCCATCATGGCTCACGGGGTCATCCCGACGAGTAGCCGCTCACGCGCCGAAACTCTTTGGCCCAAGGCGCTGGGAGGCGAACTCATGGCTAATGGGCCACCCAGCCCACGAATTGCGCAAGTTTTGTTACATATCTATATTAGATTATCCTATCTTATACTATATCATATTATACTACATTGTATTATACTATATTATATTAGACTATATTGTATTACATTTGTCATTGCCTCCATTCTCGTTGAGCTTGACGGTGGGATCCCACCGGCATCAAGCCTCCCCTTGGCGCCATGGCACAAGTCGCCGGGCTTTTGGTGACCAGCGGCAAGACACTTGTCTGCCATAAGCTCACGAGAAAAATGTAGTATGGGGACCTTAATTTCAATATTTTGGGGCCTCCTTATTGTTATTCTAAATATTTTTATATACTATACCTATACCTCAAAACTGTGTTCTACAAATTATACTAAGGCCCTGTATTAGGTTCTGAGTTGGAGCTTCTGTTGCATGCCCGCATTGTGCGCAGGAGCAGTCTTCCAAGTTCCGGGCATGCGTTCGCGCCTTAGTCTTCGGGCTCCCTTAGAAGGGATCGCACTGTGCCGTTTTACATTTTAGTATACTTACTTCATGACAGTACATGCATCTTAGCACACGTGTTATTTGTAGGTTTTTTCAATCTTTTTTCAATCCCTGCCGGCAGGTTCTGGTACTCCAACTTGCCGAGTCTCGGAGCCTGCAAATCCAGGCCCGAGGACAGCAGCTCACACTCAAGCCCGAAAGCTTCAACCGATAGATTCCTGAAGGATTCTACCATACCAGGTCGGTGAGATCTTATATAATACTGTACTTTTGCAGTCTTATGATGTTTTTTAGTTTCGCTTTGTGCTGCCCTTAGCGACATGCATCTTAGCACACATGTATATATATATATATATAATTATATAACAAAGATGTGCATTAGGTATTTATGTGTCTGCGCGAGTGTATATATTACATACACATAACATACGCACATTCTGAAAAATCAGCTCGGGTCGAGGGATAAAAAGAGCGTCGGATCGAGGTCGCCTAGTAAGCCATGAAACCCTAAACCCTAAACCCTAAAACCCTAAACCCTAAAACCCTATAAATAAAACCCTAAAACCCTAAACCCTAAAACCCTAAACCCTAAACCCTAAACCCGGAATGCCAGGGTGGCCTTGGCAGCCGAAGCAGCAATTCCTTTGGCGCTATTGAGCAGTGTGGTGCGCAAAGGCGGGCATTCGGCAGCAGAAGCCCCAAAACTTTCCCTACACTCTCGATGCTTTCAGAACCCACGATGCGCCCTATCTAGCCTTCGAAATCCTTCAATAGCAACCGCAGGTTTCCAAAAGCGCAAAGTCTCCCGCAGCTGCACAGCCCAGCGAATGCATGCACCTGGAATGCATGCACCTGGATATGGGAAGCCTGGCCAAAGAAGGCAGTTCAGGGCTTAGGGATGAAGGAGTTAAGGGGTACACGGGTTAAGGGGTTTAGGGGTAAAGGGGTTTAGGGGTTTATAGGGGTTTATAGGGGTTTATAGGGGTTCATAGGGGTTTAGGGGTTGAGGGTTTTATAGGGGTTTAGGGGTTTAGGGGTTGAGGGTTTAGGGTTTAGGCTGAAACATAATGTGACACATACGTGTAGAGATGGATGGATAGATGGACCAGGTAGGTAGACAGTAAGCCCTAAACCCTAAACCCTAAACCCAGTACGCAGCACAGTCTTCTATGATGCGGGCTCCATCATGGCAGACCATGGTGTCGCAACGTGCAGTAAAGCATAGCATAATGTAAATGTGTAAATACATGAATACGTATGTATATAATCATACATACACACATACAGAAAATAAATAATTAAGTAAATATAAACTTATATATATATATATTGGTACATCTATTTTGTATATTTTCCGTTCATGTATATGTGCTGTTGGACCTTTCCGTAACCTCCCTAACCTCCCCCCCATCACTCCGGCGAGAAGCTATCAACTGCAAAGATCCCAGTCACCAATTCGTGGAGTAGCCGCTGCTTTGTTACTCTACCAGGCTACTAGTACTTCCTTGGCGGCATTCAGATCCGAGGAATATTCCCCGCACACTCTACGAGTTCCTGGGCGTCCCTCATCCGCATTACTCTTAGAGACCTTCGACGTTGCTTTAGCTCAGCTCAGGTGGATCATCGAGCAGATGCCACAACCATTCGGAAGGCTTACCTCGCCAAACAGCTACGCGGTCCAAGCGAAAAGCTTTGTCGTCTTCTAACTGCTGCGTGAACATTGTCTGCCGTTCCACGCCTTGGGCATGTCTGCTCTGTTCAATACCGAGGAAGGTGTTCCATCCAGACATCGCCGGTGCCCAAGCGGAGGCACTGCCGGAAAGGGGCCCTTCACGCCCTGTCAGACATGCATAGACGGGCAACCTCAGCACGTGACCTCAAGAGTTCTGATCTGGGAGTTTCCGAAAATTAGGGGTACCTTATTTTGGGGCCCTTGTAATAAGGATCCTACTATTTAGGGCACTATATTAGGGTCCCCTATTTTCGGAAACCCCCATCTTGTGGTAGTTGCCCAGGGTATCGGAGGAGCCGAGTCATATCTTGATGCCTTGCATGAACAGGAGGTGAGCGTGCTGCTGAACAGTGCCTTGGCTCTCTGGGGTTGTTCTCAATAACGGTCCCTCATGTCGCCCTTGCTTTGACATGTTACAATCTGAATCTATTGTTAGATCTGTTAGTTCGGTACTGCGGATTCCAAGCCCGGAACCCCACACCCAATGCAAGCAATCTGACGATGGGAACCACATGTTTCCTGGAGGTGCGTTCGACCTCCTCCGGGACCCAGAGAAGAGGTCCAT